GCCACAGGAACAGCAGCTCTGGGATTCTTGATGGCAGCCCTGGAAGCAAGGGCTTGAGGTGTACGGTGAGAGGACTCCATCACAGCCTTTGCTGATGTTGACTCGGGACTGGGGAGCACCAACGGTGCCTTTTCCTATGCCGGGGCTCATGTGGGAGAAAGTACCTGCAGTATATAGCAAGTGTTGGCATTGCAGGCTATGCTATAGGACAGACGGGAAGCTTGGAGGAGACACAGTGAGCCTCCAGGCTTACATTAGTCCTTTAGAAGTCCTTTAGAAGCTCCCACTGGAGTCCAAAATGGTGCTCTCTCTTCTTCTGCTGGAATGACAACAGATGGCACATGACCATAATCAACCAAAACAAGTTTGGGCTCCGGAGAGATTCAGCTAAATGCATCTGATGCAGCCTGAACATCTTCCATGTCCTCACGAGAGGTTTTAGAAATGTTTGGTAAATAAGCATGCTCCTCTGTGGTTCATTGTTTACCTGAAAACGTGAGTGTAGACAGAAAGCCATCTGACATCTGTCATCTGCTCTGTGCAGAGCTGTCGCATTCCTGTGGTTGAACTCATCTCCACACAAATGCACACAATGTTTTTCACATGGTCTGGTGGGTATAGAGTCACGCCAGCCGCTATGGTCTGCTGTTTTCATTCATTCATAAGATACCCCCCTAAACAGGATGTCGCCTTCTATAGATTGGTTTCAGTGGCAGGAACAAACCAGTCTGTCTGATATGAATCAACCAATCATGTGTTCTTTTAAGATCCTGTTTGCATAGCTGGAATAGAAAGGATGAAGTGGAGAAAATGGTTGAATGAAACTTTTAAGAGAACCCATTTCTTTGGAGCTGAGCTGTAGTCACAAGTGAAGCCGAAATGTTTCACTGACCATCCTTGCCTGGCCTTTAAAGAAACAAGTGGCCACAGATCAGGCATCCTTCCTCCATGCCCCAAACAAATTGAGCAAGAAAAACAGAATTATTTCAGTGGAGGTTGCGTCTGCATAATGCTAGGACATGGCTGTTTGTTTGCCCTGGCATGTGCTATGTGGGAGGCATTGCTCAGTGAGGAGAGGAGATGACAGACACACACTCAGGTGCTTCCTCAGTGTGACTAAAGACCCCACAGTGCCGGCAAGTTCCTCCATGCAGCCATGCATGTACGCTCACTTGGCAACAGGTATTGTTTGTCTCTCTGGTTATGTTCCACAGCACCCAGCTAGGGGCACAGGGCCCTACTCTGCAGTGCCCTTTCTCTACAGGGAGGACAGCTGGAATAAGCACAGGGAAGGTGGTCCTACAGCCACTCATCTGTGTTTGTAGATAAACTCTCAGGAGTGGAACACTTCAGAACGTTTCAGGCATGGTTGGGTTTACTACATAAACATGCTGGCTACAATCCAGAATTGTGCTCATGCCAGAGCTTCCGGTCTACTTTTATGTGACTATTCCAGGCTGACTTGACAGCCTGGATCACAGCCAGCTATTGCCTGTTCGTTCATTCATTCATTCATTCATTCATTCATTCATTCATTCATTCATTCACTCAGTCAGTCAGCCAGCCAGCCAGCCAGCCAGCCAGCCAGCCAGCCAGCCAGCCAGCCAGTCATTTATGTAATATAAATTGCAGGTCTATGGGAAGATGCTCTCCTACTCAACCCCAGCTTACCCAAACAATAATGCAAGCCCGGCTTGACCCAAGCAGATAGTCAAAACAAAATTCCTACTGCCTTTTGTAAGAAAGTATGAAATTGGAAATTCCAGGCCTGCACCAATTTGTAGCCATCATGTGGCCTTCGTAAACCATCAAGAAATGGGCTCAACCCTGAGAGAATTACTAACTCACCATCCATCCATGACCTCACCACTTATCAAAATTCCTCTCCTATGAGCCATCTGTGAAAACTTTCAAAAAGTATGAAGTATATATCCAGAAACTGACAGGAAAATTATTTCAACTTGTTCCTAAACAATCTGCCTTCCAAGCTGGAATGTGGCCCCTGATAAAAAGGCAAAACTGACCATCCATTGTTACTGTATATCTAATTCAGGTAATCTTTGCTCCTGGAGTTTACTGATCATGCAGATCAGACTATGATTTTCACATTTCCTTTGACTTCAGAAACTATTTTTGAATACCTGAGAAGTCCCCCAAAGTATGAAGAAGATGTTTCAAGGATGCCCATTTGTACCACTGCTTATAGACTTGAGTTCAGAATTAGAAAACTTGGTGGTAATGATGAAGACAAGTCAGAGAGGCAGATGTTAAAGGAAAGGGAGAAAGGTTAAACTCTCTAGAATGTTTTCCCCTAGAATGATGCTATAATGCATATTTACTTTCCTACTTCTGTGCACAAGAACTATGAGATTCCCAAGGTTATCACTCATCAATTGTTAACTAAGACATCTAGCACTGTGCATGATGATTGGATTGTGAGTGTCCCACCCTCAGCACTTGCTCTGCGCTTAGGTATCTGAAAGCAGATCACTAAGAATACTTGAACACACATTGTAAGACTGGGTCACTGTGCCTCTTTCCTCCCACCCCAATCATTGCCATAGACTCATTTGCAAATCATGAGATGGCAATGACTATTTTGGTGACATTCTGCAGGAGTGGCATCATCCTTTTATGTGGGAAAAGAACTTAATGGAGGTCCTTGTAGGTTCAGTTGAAGGACAGTTTCAATTGTCTTTCCCCACCCCAAACGCCACATTTTGAAGGGAATTGTGAGGAGAAAAAAACAAAGCAAAGCAAAACAAAATGGCAGCCATCAGCCAGTTCTAGTGAATTTGATGCCCCCTCCCCCAAACCTTGAGCATGTGGCACAACATGTTATCCTATTACACAGAGAGTTTCAAAACCACCTTTTCTAAACTTGGAAAAGGCAAGGACTTGTTTCACTGAACAACTAGGGGATGAACATAATCCCAAAGGTATAAGGACTAAAGTCCACATAATCTGACAAGAGTTTTTCTTGTCAAATTATACATTCCAACTCCCAGAAGAGTAGTATAACAAATGCAGGCATGTTACCTATTTCTTAAAACCTAACTGACAATGACTTGTTGCATGCTTCAGTTTTGAGAAGAAATTATTTTCCAGAAATAATCCAGAGCTGTTATTTGCAGATAGTAAAATACCTGAAATAAGCACTTTCAACCCGAGTCCCTTTTTTAGGAAGGGATATGCATGATTCAGTCAAGAAACAGCAAGTATAAGGTTACTTCAAGAGTTGGCTTCTATTATACAAGCATCCTGGCTGAGGCTCAGACCAGGCAGTGCCTTAAATCTCTATATAACAGCTACATCTTTTTCATGTTTATGTTAAAGTAGGTGTGGGGGAACCAATCCTGAAATTTGAAGGACTGCAGTTCAGATGGGACCCTATGCCTGCTTTCCGGTCACAATGGAGGGAGGAACCCAGGAGCTGCTGTATATTGATTTATAGTGGTGTCTGTAATGGCTAAGTGACAGTCACTTTGGCATCATCAATGAAATACAGGCCTGTTCTGTTCAGTCGCAAGATTGTGCTTGACTCTTCATGACCTCATGGATAACATTCCTCCAGGTTTCCCTGTCCTCCTCCATCCCTATCCAGGGGATGCCCACACCCACCTCTCCAGTGACCCCATACAGCCACTCCAACCTCTGCCATCCCCTTCTCCTTTTGCCTTCAATCATTCCTAGGATCAGGGTCTCTTCTAATGAGTCCTTCCTTCTCATTTGTTGGCCAAAGTATTAGAGGTTCAGCTTTAGTACTTGCCCTTCTAAAGTGCAGCCAGGGTTGATTTCCTTTAGGATTGACTGATCTTATCACTTTGCAGTCCAAGGCACTCTCAGGAGTCTTCTCCAACACCCCAATTCAAAGGCGTCAATGCTTCAGTGCTCAGCCTTCCTTATGGTCCAACTCCTACAGCCATACATTACAATTGGGAAAACCATCGCTTTGACTATACGAAATTTTGTCAGCAGGGTGATGCTTCTGCTTTTTAGCATGCTGTCTAGGTTTTCCATAGCTTTCCTCCCAAGGAGCAAACACCTTTTAATTTCTTAGCTGCAGTCACGATCTGCAGTGATCTTGGAGCCCAAGAAAATAAAATCTGTCACTACCTCCATTTCTTCCCCTTCCATTTACCAGGAAGTGATAGGGCCACATGCCATGATCAAAATAAAGGCCAGGCATCACCAAAAAGGGATGAAAGAGGGCATGGGTATACATAAAATTTGCACGTGCTGATTTGGAAGAATGACTACAATTTTAATAGAAGTACAATATATTTCACCATTGTGAGCAGGTGCAGTTGATGGGTAATTTCAAGGCCCCTCTTGTGTCTCATGCTTCTCTTATGTTTAACAAGACTCGCACTGTACACGTCTTCAAATAGAAGACACCTTCAGACAAAGAACCATCTCCTGCAAATGAGGGCATCAGGTCACCCACCTTTTGGATGTCAATCATGGAATTTTTAAGCATTTCCAAACATCTCCATATCTATCCTCTAACCATCTCATGTTTCCCCAGCCCTTCTGACTTCTTTTCTTTACACATACTGTATGCACACACACACTTCTTGAAGGAATAACATAAATAGACGTGCAATGTCTTTTAACCACCAGCTCTAGGAGTTCCCTGCCTGGAAGGACCAAAGTCCCCTATTGGAAATGGGAACTGTCTTCCATTGAAGTCATCTTTGACTGCTGGCAACTAAGCAACAATTCCCATAACAACTGCATTTGTTCAAGAACCGCTTCAAATTATTTGCTTATCGGCTGATATGTTTTTGTCAGCAGAGAACCTGTTCCCTTCTAGTTTAACCACAACCAGAAGACAGTTTGGTCTCTTTCAAAACAAAACTCTGCACACGTCATTGGACAGTACAAAAAAAAAAAAAAAAAGGAAGTCGCTCCTTTTGCGGCAACGGGGTGCAACAAACAAGGCAGCTGACATGTGCCAGTTTATAAGGCTGACAGAGAAGGCAGCAAGGCCAGACCTGTTAGCTGCTACGACGGGAGAACATCGGCAGTCCCATGAAAGAAAGCCTCAAAATGCCGTGGCTGTTCTTGTGGCACACCAGCTCAAGTGAAATGAAAGAAGACAACCATGAGGTTGCAGAGGGCAAGGATCATAAGAAGAAGAGCAAGGCATTGTAAGTATAACGGCACTTCCAAAATGGCCTTTAAGCAAAAGGAACTCTTGGTCAGCCTAAGGATGAAAAGCTACCTCAGACCAAAAGAGTTGGCTGCCCATAAAATACACCCTATCAGGGATCTACCAGTATTGAATTGCAGAGCGGCCAAGAATGCCGTTCTTACAATATGTTCTCATTTTCAGTGGCAAGCAGAGACACAAAATCATAGATCGATGGACCTTTAAAAATTCCTATAGCATAGCACCGTCACCATTCAGGAGCAGTCCTATGCTGTAGGAAATCCTACTGAAATGTGTGCTATTTAAAAGTAAACATAATTTGGATCAGTTTGGCTGTCCCACCAGTTATGATACAAAGTTCCCACAAGATCTTAGGTTTATGTCTGTCTCTCCTGTTTAAATCAAAGAGAGTTGAGAAGTGTTATGTTTGCTTGGAAGATGCTTTCAATGCAAACTGTTCTGTGAGAATTTGGTGTGTTCTGCCTCTCCTGGATATGACCAAGAGCATAGGGCTCTGTGTGTGTGTGTGTGTGACGGTGCATAAAGAGTGCTCACTCAACTGAAAGTTGCTGCAAGAATAGCTGAGCGAGAAGGAAGCAGTAGAGGACTTTAACAGGACTCACTCTGCACTTTTCTATGCCCCCTATTTTCTATGCCCCTGAGAATACTGCATTGACTTTTTATCTGGGTTGCTTAAACTTGCAGCATGGAATCGGCTTTGCTCAATGTGGGTAAGCATTTTAGAGGTTGATGGAGTCCAGTATGGGGCTGCCCTTGAAGACGATCCAGATACTTCAATTGGTGCAAAATAGAGCTGCCAGGTTGCTGATGGGGACTGGGTGTTGTTCTCATATAACCCCAGTTCTCCGTCAGCTTCACTGGCTCCCTATTGAAGTCCGGGTGTTGGTTATGACCTATAAAGCCCTTAACGGCTTGGGAACTGGTTACCTAAAGGAAGGTCTGCGTTCATATATGCCCTCCCACCCCCTACGATCGGCAACAGATGCCCTTCTCCGGGAACCCTCCGTGAATGATATTAGGAGGGTGAGTACCCGGAGGAAGGCCTTCTCTGCAGTGGCGCCCCACCTATGGAATGCACTCCCCAGAGAGGTCCACCTGGCGCTGTCATTATTTGCTTTTCAGTGCCAGGCAAAGACCTTTTTATTTAAAAGTTATTTTAACCGTTCATTTATTATTATTGTATTTATAGATTTTAATATATACAGCTGAGATGGTACCAGTTTTTACATTATTAATTGTAGTTTTTATGAATGTTGTGAGCCGCCCTGAGGCTTTGTTGTGATGGGGCAGCATAGAAATGTTTTAAATAAATAAATAAAATATGGCAGACATCCATTTTTAAATCCAGAAATTTTATACTGGAACAGGGCACACTGTACTCTATAGTTCATTCAGACAATTCCTAAATCCAGAATTACTTTCCATTTTGAATGTGTGCCATGCATTTCCATTAAAGCCCATGAGAAAGTGACAGATCTTGCTGCAATCTCAGATATCTCTTTTGCTGGTCAGGCCCTGCAAAAAGCCAGGTTCACAGATGATGCTGCATCAAGAATGAATAAGGTGCTAAATATATTTTATCACTGGTTTCAGGGGTGTCGAAATGAAAAACTATTTGATGTCTTTTGTGCCACACATCGAAGCTGCCGACATCAAGTATTCCAACTCGAAAGGCGTAATGTAAGTGTTACATGCGAACAAGAAATACTATTAATATATTAACATGGACCCCTTGTCACATATGATTGCTTCTCAGCCTATCAAGACAGGGCAGGGGTGCACACATATTCAAAGTGAGTGCATGTATGGATAGATCACCTCATTTGCTTCACGGTATTTTTTCTAGGCCACACCGAATTGCTGTCCCGCCAAACAATTCAAAACTTTCAATTTTGCCCGTGCGTTGGAGGGGAAGCTGAAATGAGTTTTTGTTACTGTCACATGCCATCAAATTCTCTCCGGCTTGTGGTGACCCTATGAATGAAAACTCTCCAAAATGTCTTGTCCCTGGCCGCCCCACTCAGCTCCTGTAAATGGAAGGCTGCGGCTTCCTCCATGGAGTCACCCCATCTCGTCATAGGTCCTCCTTTTCTTCTTTTCCCAACTTTCCCTAGCATGATTGTACAGCAACCCTCCTTAGGATGAAATCAGTGCAACAGTAAAAGAGGCTTGGGAAAGACAAAATTTTAAGGGATTTTTAAGGAAGACTGGCAAGAAGGCAAGGTTCTGATTCCCTCTTAGGAATAGGATTTGGCCAATGGGTCTTCCCTTTTTAATCAGAGAATCCCATGTGCATCGTGAGCCCCTCAGGAGGCCGGTGTTTCCTGGAATACTCAGGGCCATGCAGCACCTGCCTGCAGGCTGAAAGTTTCTTTGCTACGATCCTACCGCAAACAAGACTGGGGCTCTCAGAACTTTAGGGAAACTCCACCCCTCACAAACTATGAAAGCCCCATTGTTGCGTGTCGATCTTGGCATGCTGAAGAAACCACCTTTGCCGCAATGATGCAATCTTTTAAAAGTAAAATTTTAAATCCGGTGGGGGCTGGTCTAGATTTGAATGAGACTTTAACCCTTCCCTGCCCTGCTGTGATTCTGAGAAAGCGCATACATTCGGAAGCCACCCTGCAAATGGAAACAGGAAAGAAGCCCCTACTGCCTCCAATGAGTGATTCTTTTTCTCTCACCTTGTGCAGCATTGGGAGATTTTCTTCAGCATCGCTGTGGAGTAGTGGAGATTTAAACCTCCTTTTAATACATGTCCCAATCTAGACGAGGCTCACCCATTCTTGGATGTTTTGTTTGTTTGGTTTAAGCCAGCTGCTGCTTAGCTGTTGTTTTCTGGGAGGTTAGTTGCTCCTAGACAGTCAGCAAGACTCCAACCCTGTTGCTTTTGCACCTGTCATGTAACTGTTAAAGCAGGGGTAGGCAACCCACCAACTGTTGCACACAGGGCCGTCTTAACAGCATTATGGGCCCCGGGCAAAGCAGTGTACTGGGGCCCCTACGACAACTACAACTACTGTTAATTTTGGAAGTTTTCCGATTTTCCAAGGGTTAACATACACAGATTAGTATGGGGCCCACGGACAAGTGCTCATCAGGCCCTTGCACTAAGACAGCCCTGGTGGCCCACATGGAGGCCCAGAACCACCACCTTTGAATTTGCTGTTGCACTGTAAGCAGTGCAAGCCAGTGGTCTCCTTGCTGCCAAAATTCATGTGCTTCAATTTAAATCTGCATTTGGCCATTTTAGCCCCCTCTTGCAGTTGTCACCAAATTACTTTACACAGAATTTCAGTGCTACACTGCAGCAGCCTGGTCCCTGGGCTTGAAATGTTCCCCAGGAGCTTCTGAAGTTGGTCACTCCTGTGCTAAAGGCAGAGGACCCTCACCAAAATAAAGGATGGTGATCTATTGCTAGAACCCCATTCTAACTTATTTAACCAAGCAGCTAAGAAGCTTGGATCAAGGAGAACATGACATAACTGAATCTTGTTTCATTCCTTGTCAATTTAGCACAGCCAGCTTTAGTTAAGCTTAAGATTATTCTCTGGAATTTACCATACCTCTTGGTTCAAAGCATATTCATTCTGAGCTTCCTTTCTGCTCAAGATGTGTGATGTGTTCTTTATCACTGTAGGCCACATCCTGTATTGCTAGACATGCATTTTGGTGTGGGAATTAATTAAGCACCATTACAATTTCCAGATTTTTTTAAAGTTAAGCATCTTCTGCAAATAAGGTGGCATAGTTTGAGAGCACTGATTTCTGGGAAGTGAGGCAAGATAGTTCATATAAGTCTAGTACATTGACAGAATATCCTGTCAATGAACCAAGTTTTCCCTCATCTATCAGAAGATCTATAGTCATTTTCATACATCCCAGTTCCTGGCCTTATTGTGTCACCAGTACAATGTTGTAATTAATAGAATGTGGAGTAGAATGATGAAGACCTGAGTTCGAAGCCCCACTTAGCAATTAAGCTCAATGGGGGTCTCTGCCCTGCACATCTCTGTTACAAAAGATCTGGGAGCCAAAGTACACATTACTTCAGCCTTCCCTGGCCTGGTGTTCTCCAAAATGATTTGGACTGTAATTCTTTGCATGCTGACCATTGGCCATGCTGGCTAGGGCTGATGGGAACTGAAGTCTAAAACATCTGGTTGGCAAGGTATCCAAGGTGCCAAGGTGCAAAATGTAGCTAGCAGTGCGCTCACTTGCTTGCTCTCTTGCATAACTGCAGGGTTCCTGATATGGATCAAGATTCTAGCATGTTGGGTATGGGGTTAGGGTTAGGGTTCATCCCTCCACTTCTGTTGCAGTTGGCATCTGGATATTATTGGGGCCTGCACCACTAATATCTATTTCCAAATAGTGTTCCATTCATTTTAATGGATCACTAATCTGAAATCTAAATTGCTGGTGCAACGCAGCTAATCCAGAGCAGGATGGGGGTGGGGTATAAAGTTCTTCTACCACCCTAAAATAGGGCCTAAATCTTCATTAAGGACCTGCACTTACTCTAGGAAAAAAGGTTCCTGCCAGCCCAACCTATGTTCTTAATGTAAAACTCAGCTGGTTTTGGTGGTCTCCAACTTTATGTCTCATTGCACGTTGCTCACGGAGCAGACCTGAGGGGGAAATCTTATGAACAGTGAGTGCCAGAGCAAGTAGTAGACTAGATGAATCTGTTGTCAGACAGCTTCAGCCCCACCATGAAATGCTTGAGGAAGAGGTGGAATACAAGCATGATATTTAGATAACAGTACTTTTCAATGCTTGCATTTCTCTCTGCATAGGTTTGATGGCCAGTGTGGTTGGAATGCTGGACCAGGACTCAAAAAGTCCACGTTCTGGTCCCCACTGGGGTATGACGCTCACCAGTGGACCTTGAGCCAGCCACTGAGTCTTAGCTTCACCACTTTACTCAGGCTTGTCCTGTGCATTCAATAGAAAGAAAAGAGAGTGCTCGTGAGGACAAAAGGAACCATGGCAACTGCCTGTGGGTTCTTTGCAAGAGGAATAAAAGTGGAATAAAAATGGGAAAGTAAACAAATGCATCAATACATCTCCAGAACGTTTTCTCACCACCACCATCACTGGGGGCTGGGGAAGAACAACCGGAACCATTCAGTCTTTTCCATAGGATGCCACTTAGAGTTCAGTTATGTCTGCAGTTTCTTGAGCTAAATTGCTTCTGTTGTTTCAGGATCCCTGCAGAAGAAGTGACACAGTGGTCCCAGTCTCTCGAAAAGCTTCTGGCCACCCAGTGTGAGTATTTCATTTTAGCTGCTTTGTTAGTTGGAAGACAAGACCTTGAAAAGACAGTCTTTGAGCAAGAATTGTCACTTTCCAAAAGACAAACAAAGAAATAGATTGGTTAAGTAGTGTTTACCAGGGCAGCCGTGCCATTATTCAGAACTTCCAAGTATGAAGAAAGTTGGATGGAACTTGGGACCAAACCTGTATTCAGCCACGAAACTCACTGGATGGCTCGGGGCCAGTCCAATAGTGCCAGCAGGGCAAGACTTCGGGGCAAATGCTCATTCCAGCAGGAACTTGGCTTGTTGTAGCAGAACAAGCTGCAAGAGCCTCCAACAGAACAGGGCTGCCTTAATGGGAGAATGACAGCAGTAGAACTGTCTTGTCCAAAGCCAAAACTAATTGCTTAGCTAGAATGAATAGTCAAGTTCTTTCAGCCTAGAAGGATATTGGTGAGAGAAACATGTGATCATCTTATTTAGGGATGGGTGAATTAGCACATCTTGAAGTTTTCATGGTTTTCCAAATTCCACCTTGAAGCTTGTTCTGACTCATGTCTATATCAGATTGCAAACTTTGTTTTGCTCTTTCTTTCTTTTGCACAAAAATGTATATATTTTTGTAATATATATTTTTTCAAATTTATCCAACAATTGCACATATTTGACAAGTACACATTTTCTCCCATCAGTTAAAGCATGTCTGTGCAAATTTATACTTTTGTTCAAATGTATGCAAAATACATTCATTTTCTAAGATTTTTTTTGTTCATGGGTCACAAGCATTCAGATCCACAATCAGTTCTGGAAGGTGTGGATTGGATACATTTTAAAAAATTAACTGAAATGGAAATTTCATCCATTCCTTCCCCATTTAAGTTTCTCCTTGGACAGAAGGAGAAGATACAAAGATTAGTGCAAAAAAGCTTGCTTAGAAATATATGTAAACATGCCTGCAAGAACTGAGCAATTAAGTGATTTGGTGGAGCTTCCTAGAGAGACTATTCTACAACAATTGTGTTACTACTGGGAATACCCTTACCCAAGAATTATGTGGCCTCAAGTGCTGGAGAGGCAATACCTGGAGTTTAATAATGGTAATAAAATCATGGCTACTTCTTTGTTTTCTCTTCCTCAGTTACATGTCTAAAGCCATTTTGATGTTTTTGCTTATTGCAGATGGTCGAGAAGTTTTCAGAGAATTTCTGAAATCTGAGTTCAGTGATGAAAACATCGAGTTTTGGCTTGCTTGTGAGGACTACAAGAAAACCCAAGCAGATCATTTACACAGCAAAGCAGAGAAGATCTACAGGGAGTATGTTCAGTCAGATGCTAAAAAACAAGTAAGTTCTAAGGCAGAAAAGAAATGTAATGCATTTCTAAAGGGCATAATTGGATGGGCACGGGGAGGCAATTTTTGAAAACATCTTGATATATTTTATACTGTCATTTGATGTTTTGTTGTGTACCTCTATTCATGCTCTTGCTAGATGTCACATACCGAATGCATTACTCCCTTGCAAACTTCACTTGTGAATATTACGAGTTGATGTGCAAGGTTTCACACGGCCCGTGCACACATGCAAATCACTCTCGGAGGCCACATGCTGCTAGTGCAGAGTGGACATTCGTGTGCAGACTAGTTCCAAAGGAACCTAGCAACATGCATCAGTGCTAGCTTCAGTGTGCTGTGCTACTTGATATCTCACTGGCTATATATTCCGTTCAAGCAAAGAATGTCAGAAAACCATGCTAGTCAATGACACATTATTTGACTGGCCAATTTCCGGGGTGAATCTCTACAACTCTCCTTCACTTGGTATGCATTGCAGCATGTAAAATTTATTAGTTCAGATACTGATGTATCTGCTATAACAAACTTTACCCTGAAAATGAGGAGTTGATCTATTCCTAGGAAGCTGGAGGTAGTATTTTAGGCCAGAATAACTAATGTGGAACTCAATATTTAAGTTTCTAAAGCATAAAATAAGAACAAAGGTATCCCAACCAACTTTTCATCACTTAATGTAGTATCACTATGTTGCCCAGCTTATGAGTGATGGAGGGTCAGGTGGCAACATTTGGATTTATGGCCATAAACAAGAGTTCTTACTTCATAATGAGGCACAGTTGGGGCAACAAGATGATATTCTGGAAGTTGCTGAATCCACTTTTGCTCTCCCTAGGTCAACATTGACTTTCACACAAGAAAATCCATAGCTAAAGAGGCGCAAGCTCCAACTCCTTCAAGCTTCAATGAGGCACAGAGAGTTGTTTATGTTCTGATGGAGAGAGACTCTTACCCGAGATTCCTCAAGTCCAGGTTCTACCTTAACCTGCTCAGTAAGGTTCAGTGCAACAGCCTCAAGTGAGGTCTCTGGTGACAGCCAAGGACTGGCTCTGAAGTCTCTCAAGCAGTGAAAGCAGCTCAAGTGTGGCTGGCACACAAACTGTGAACTGTTGGAATTGAGAACAGAAGAAGACTTGAGAACTGTGGCATAGTCAGAATTACACAAGCCAGACAGATGAGGATGTCTCGGCAAGTTTCTTCAAGAAGAAACAGTGAAAGGATGAGGCACCATATTTTCTTGATCTAAGAACCACTTCCCATTTTACCATGTCCTTTCTCCCAAAACTGATCATACCATTCACATCTGCTGTCACATGGGAAAGAGATGTATCTCTATTCCTGCTGTTAGTAAGGGTCACAAATTATGTGCACCAATTGCTTTCTCTGGTTATTGCAGTTAAAACTACAGTCTGAGCCTCTTGACATGCATTGCCTCTGATCTGATGTGTAAGGTCTCACTCTTCCAGTGCATACACATGTGCAAACCCTTTGATGCTGTATGCAGCCACTGAGAGATGGATGTGCATGTGTGACTTAGCCCCAAAGCAACCTCAGTAACATGTACCAGTTCCAGCTCCAGGAAAGTCAACATCCTGATATTATGGAGACTACAGTTCTGGAACTGGAAATGTCAGGAATCAGAGTGCCTTATAATGGCATGTTACTGGACGCAAATCTTAATCAGGCCTGCACAAATTGTGAGCCCCCAAAGCTGAACACAAATTATCATGATCAGCCATGAGCTCAAGAACACTTGAGCTCCTACAGTCCTGCCACAACCAGTCCACTTGACATGGTTGTCTTTGAGCTTGGCAAGCCACAGGTTGTACAGCCCAGCATTAAATCCATCCATACTGACAACAGCAGCAGCACTTTGAAAGATGCTGTGCTGGGAAGGAATATTTAACTAAGATGAAATGCCTGAAGTCAAGGTTTTGCAACCCCAACTTCTAGCCATGGGTCAATGTGGTCACTATTGTAGCACTGAGGTTTCGAGGGACCAGGATGTAACCAGCCAGCTCTATTCTTCAGGCTCTTACCTTGTGGATGTTCAGCTTCCCCAGAGGGACAAGACCATGTGGCCCAAGAGAAACTTCCCCCTTGAAGCTGAGCTGCAGCTGCTTCCATGCACCTCTGATTTATTCTTTCATCTTTCCATTGGCTGGGTTCCTGATTCTGCCTTCCACTACCTGAGACAAAGAGAAAAGAAGCCAAGTAGCCCCGCTGCTTTTCTCAGGCTATAAAGAGGCAGGAAAGAGCAGCCTATATCAGAACTATGCTATTGCTATGCATCCCAGAAAGCTGGTGCCTAATGGGAAGTAGATGTCCACCGCAGCTGGAAAGTTGGAAGAATTCCACCTTCCAGCTGTGCTTGTCCAAAGGCTTCTCTGCTTTCAGGAGGAATGGAAGGATCCCCAACATTTGTTGTTTGTTAGAGTCGGTTTGCAACAAGAAGCAAAAGTGATTTTCAACGTGACAAAGGCCCTGCTTGAAGACAAGTGAACTTAAGGAGGTCCATGGAAGGAAAGATGCCCAAGGTTCCTCCCACTGCAGTACCCTTCCAAATCTGACAAGCCTCCATTGGGTGTCCAAGGAATCTGTATAGACTGAGACAGAGCACGGGGGGTGTTTGGGTAAGGGCAGATCTCTCCAAACTGGGCAGAGCTTTTCAGGGGGTAGAAAAATTTCCTTCGGTGAACTTCCTGAAGTTGCAAACCTTTGTCACCAGACCCTGCAATTTTTGCCCCATATGTAAGCTATTTCATTGATAATGGGTTAAGATCTGTGTTGCTTTATGACATTGAATGCTCTGTATGTTACCCTCAAATGAATCTCCCATTGAATGGGACCCTGTTTCCTGTGTATATAAGCTAGGACATGAATAATTCTATTTCAGTAGTCGATAAATAACATAATATTTAATTTATTGCAGATTGTAAATTAAACGGCAAATGACCGCTAAATTAAATTTGTATCAGAAACTGTGTGTTCCTTTGTCGTTCTCTCTGTTATCATCAAATACTTTGAGGGTGTGCATCTAAGGTAGCCACAGGTCCAGTTTCACAGTCCATGGACCCTTTTTTGAAGGCACCCTCTTTTTACAGGAGCAACCAATGCAGAGCCTGTTTAAAGATTAAATAAAACTTAGAAAGGAGGGAGGATGGGATCCTTCATGTTGCCCATCAAAAGTTATCAGCTAGACATCAACTGAATGCACAGATACACACAGATCGCATCATCAAAGTGTCCACCACCATTACTATCACTTTTAGCAATTATTTCCAAATTTCCATTTTATATATAAAACTTAAAAGTGATGCAAGTCTGTGCCATACCCCTCTTTTCTGTGACCATATTCAAGCGGCCACCCTACGCAGTGAGTAGACTACAATGAGCAACTACTGATTTGCACTTGGCTTGCTGCATAACAAGGGGTATAGACCTGCTCCAGAAACCAAAGTAAACAAAACTGTGGAGCCTGCAGAATTACTGTTGTCTTTCATTCCAGTGTCCTGATTATTCACTTCTTATTTGTTCCACTTCCACATTTTTTTGGTGAAGTAAACCTTGTTCATATGGAAGACTGTAGAAAGTTAGGTTTTTATCCTCTGTTGCAAATTCCCAACATTTTTGACAAATCATCCAATAGCAGCCTGCCTATCATGTCTGGTCCACCTGGGACTTCAGGACTATTCTCTCTCTCTTCCCACCTCTTCCCCAGAACTGTGTGATGGACCTGAGTTATTTCCACCATTGGCCAGTTGGACACTATCCATTTCTAATTTAGCAGAATTCAGCCTGGGCTGCCAACAGATCTAGTTTGCCCTGATCTTTAAAATCCTTAACTTTAAAAAAAAACAATGCAAGTCAACTAGCTGATAGAAAACACAATGTATTACTTATGGGGGCTGTTCAGCTTGGTTGGTCATAACTGAACTGTCCTCTGTTACCCAGTCCTCTGTTTAAAGGGTTTAGAATATAATAGTAGAGTTGGAAGGGGCCTTGAAGGCCATTGGGCCCAACCCCTTGCTATTACAGGTCACCAATTTATACCATCCTTCTTCCAGAGGACAATCCTCGGCTTGAAGGGCTGTGCTTTCCAAGTCTGGTTTGAAGATAACAAGACTGAAGCACTGTTGTCCATCAGCCATGGATGCTTGAAGAGGTACGCACACTGATCACCTGCCCACAATCTTCCACATTATGGGGAGGTTTACTTTATTTCTGTTAAATGAAAGAACTCCTTGCAGCTTTTACTCTGCTTAGCCAGCACCTATATAGGAAGGTGCTCGTCTCTGTTTCTAAGGCCATGAGCCAGCGCTGTCTGAAGCTGATCCTGTGATCAAGTGGCCAGCGTGACATCACAGAGCACTGTTACCTTCCCACCCAAGAGGTACCTGTTTATCTACTCACATTACATGCTTTCAAACTGCTAGGTTGAGAGGAGCTGGGACAAACCACAGACGCTCACTCCATCTGGCAGAGGCTGGGCTCGAACCGCTGGAGTGCCAACCATTTCTGGCTGACATTTCCAATGTCATTAAGCTGCCGCAGTACCACTTCCCCTCATTTCTATTAAATGATATTTTAAAAATGCATCTCTGCGTATTTTCTGCAAATTCATGTCCCCCTTTGCCTTCTTGGGTGATGCATTTGCTCTTTTCGGGTGATTCGTAAGTGGACATGTTAGTCATAAATGCTGCATTTATCAAGAATGACAGTAACCTGTGAAGTTAACCAGGAGGCCTTGGTAACATTCTTTGTGGAAAAGCAGAGGGTAATTTACAACGGCAACACGGGCCAATTTACATTTTGTTTTCAAGCTTTCGAGATAAAATTTGCTTTATAAGGGGCAGCCTCTGCCAATATGGGCCATGAGAGCTGAGGTGATGGCAAGCATAAAAATCTTAAGTAAATAACTCTGCCTGTGGTTGTGAGCTTAATTCTAAATGTAATTACTCTAAGAGCTGTAATTTTACTGCTTAGATATTTAAAATGAGCTTAAATAACAATGAAATCTGTCACTTGACCTGCTCCAGATAAGAAGCCTGTTTTTCCCCTCTGCATTTTCTCTTTTAGCTCACAGTTATTTCAGATTTTCCATTCTCCAAACATAAGTTTGACTCATGTCTGCTTATACCTGCCAGGTTCCAGCGTAAGAAGCAAGGCATAGATCAAATTTGATCACCAAATCCTAAAGCAGCTTCAGAGTTTGTGGCTGGGGGGTGGGGAGGGGGAGGCCTTTAAGCCTTGTCTCTATAAAGATGTGATGAAAAGCAAGGGATATGGTAAGAAAAGTAGAGCTTGGAGAGAATATGATAGACGGTGCCGCAGGCATGGAACTGGCAAACAAGCAGAGAGGAGGAATTAATCATTGAAGAACTCAAAGAACAGACAGACATAAATGTCACCAAACTCAGATTTGGAGAGTCCCTAGCCTGGGGAAAACCAAACCAAACCACACCAATGCAAAGATGACTGAACAGTACTTGTGGGTCATTGGCTTCCACTATTGGACCACATAGAAATCCAATAAAGAGATGAAGTAATGCTGTTTCTAGAATCCTAACCATCTTATTTCCCTTTTGTCTGTGGTATGCAAAGCGGCAGGCCATGGGAAAGTGGCAGTTTGCAGCATGCATGTCATCTAATGCCTTCAGGTGCGGGCAGGTGGCTATGATGTCGCTGCCTCATGATAGGCCATGGTCCAGCATGACATCAATCCATACTTTGTAGGGTGCCAGGTGTCCTACTTTGCAAAGGGTAGTCCTCTATTTTGGAGAAGAATGCAGTCCAAAGGAAAAAGAATCAGCATAATGCATGTGTCGTAACTTAGATACTTTGTAAATGTAATATTCCATGATTCAAAGTGTTGATCTTAATGGTTGCTCGGCCGTCAGATCCAAGCCAAGCAGGAAGCAGATCAATGCTAGGGATAGTGCTGGGAGACATCAGGGTTGGAATACCTGCTTTCATTTTGACACCATCTAGCTAAAAGTCCTGCAAGATCTCTCTGTCTCTGGTTGATTTCTACCTGGTCTGGGAGCATAAGGTCTTGGGAAGACAGGACTACTTTCAGCCATCCAAGTGATTTGCACCTGCTCATGAGGAGGCCAGACTGAAGCCCTGGGGGGGGGGGGCATCATGTCCAAGTGGACCCTCACTCCTTCCTTCCTTCCCCATTCCCCAGAATGTCCACCCAATCTGCAGAGCTGCAGCACTGTGCCAGCTACAAGATTGGCTGGAGGAGGCTCTAAGGTTAGAGTTCCAATTCTGACTTCAGAACACATTTCCAAGGGCAGAGCTGGACCTCTGACCTTTCATGTGACCATCTAGATAACATACAGCAACCATGGTATGGCACACTTGAAATACTATTTTGCTGTATTTGCTGATGTTTCTGTACAGCTCTTTGAATATGGATTCATCATGAAAAGGTGGATAGGAAAAAATGAGGCTGAGGAAGACTTCTTTGCTCCTTCATGAATAAATTTGTGATATAAGAGTCCTCTGAAAGCTTTCAAAATGTGTTTTTTGCTTGCCACCACTGTTGCATTCTTACCTGTGTTCTATGCCCTCAGACCATATCTTCTGATCATGTAGCTATTATTTGTTGGGTGGAATTTGTGTGTGTGTGTTTTGTTTTTGTTTTGTTTCTTTGAGGAACAAAGGAAGTCTTCATCAAGACTTGCCAGTTCTCAAGTTATTTTGATTGTTAGTTGTCAATACAAACTCTACTGGATTCATAGTTAAGACTGACAAATGCAATTTTATTCATAGATTTCCTATTACTCAGCAGGAAAATGTTGCTGTTGTTGTTGTTGTTAGGTTCCATGGAGTCATCCCTAACTTATGGTGGCCCTATGAATGAAAGCCCTCCAAAAAGTAATATCCATTAAATCCCTGCTTAGCTGTTCTGAAATCAAGGCTATGAGTCCCTTTGTGGAGTCAATCCATCTCTGATTTGATCTTCCTTTTCTTCTTTGGCCTTCAACTTCCCTTAACTTGATTGTCTCCTCCAAGGAGTCTCGCCTTCTCATGTTGTGTTCAAAGTACGACAACATCAGTTTTGTCATTTTTGCTTCTAAGCTCTGGTTTAGTTTGATCTAGGACTCAGTTGGTTATCCTTCTGTCAATCCGGGGTATTCACGAAGCTCCTCTCTAGCACATGTCTTGAACACATCAATTTTGGACAACTTATAGTTATCTAAATACCAGGAGTATGAAAGTCTGCTTAAGGCCAACATATAAGACCTGCTCGGCTTCATGCAGCAAGCTTTGTGGTTGAACAGGGATGTGAATCTAAATCTCCTCTGTCCTTGCCGGACATTCTCACCATGACATCACACATTGGCTTTCTTATTTAACTTCATTTCCTTTATGTCACCACCATGAATATTGTGTGAGATAGCATGATCTCAACATAGGAAGCCACTTACATTTTGTTACAAGCTCAGATCTCAGATTACGACAACGATAACTGAACATCATTCCAGTTGGGTTTCAAAAACTGAAGGAATGTGATAGTAATTTGAACAAAAACACACCTTCAATGAGATCTCTGCTAGGTCATAAACAAGTGTTCAGAGCATGGAGAAAACCTGGATGCAAAGAAAACATTCAAGACATCCCTCACTTCTGCACTTAAGATGAGTTAAGACAGCTAGGACTGGGGCAGATTAGTCTCTAAAAGCCTAGTCACTCCAAAGTTATTCTAGCCTCCTTAGCAACCACCTTATGCTCTGTTAAGGAGTAAACAGGCGGACCAATGCTTAAGAGGGTTCTCCATCAGCCTGCCACCTGCCTGGCACTTGATAGTCGTTACTATAGCAAACCTATACAAAGCTAGGAAACCTGGAGTACCACAATTTAAAGTTATATGCTCATAAAGATATTTAGTGAAGTTTACCAATGAGAAGAAGCAAACAGACGTGAAGAAACGGCAGAGTGTTGAATTCCTTCCATTCCTGTGCACCCTTGCCCTAG